CACTGCCTTAATACTTCACTCAATTCAAGATGAATTATAATATGAATAAGATGAATCTTGATCTTACTCAACTGATGCACGAGCTTGAGAGTGCTGAACAGTCTCTAGTCAAGCAGGGAAGTGCATTTTATGCTGGTGAAAGTTCTGTGAAACCTAAGGGGAAACTCAAGGGGAAGAACAAGAACAAGAAAAAGAAGAAATCAGGTATTCCAGTTGCCAAACCAGTTGCAATGAAGCAGCCGAAAGGTAAGTGCTTCAAGTGCGGACAAAAGGGGCATTGGGTAATTTACATGTGATTGAGGCTTGTTTAGTGGAGAATTACAATGATAAATGGATCATTGATTCAGGAGCCACTAACCATGTTTGTTACTCTTTGCAGTGGTTCAAACATAGCTTGCCTTTAAGTGAAGGACAAAGAGTTTTGAAGCTTGGAAATAGGGAGCTTGTGTCTGCACTAGCAGTGGGACTCCTCAGTTTCAATAAGGAGTTAGCGTAATGTTTAATGGTCTTTATTTCCTTAGTCCTGTACCCTGTGAAGTTTATCATGTTGAATTAAGAGATGTTGAGCATATCAACTCATCAAAGAAAAGAAAAGTTTCCAATGAAACTTATCTTTGGCATTTGAGGTTGGGTCACATTAACTCAAACATGATACACAGTTTGGTCAAAAGTAGGATCTTAAAATCCCTGAACTTTGAACCAATACCAGTATGTGAATCTTGTTTAGAGGGTAAAATGACTAAGAGATCTTTCAAGGCCAAGGGAAATCGTGCCACACATCAGCTAGAATTGGTACATACTGATGTATGTGGACCAATAAATGTCCAGGCCAGAGGCGGGTATCAGTATTTCATCACATTTACTGATGATTACTCTAGATTTGGACATGTGTACCTGATGCGTCATAAGTCTGAAGCTTTTGGAAAATTCCAAGAGTTCAAGGCTGAGGCAGAAAAACATCTTGGTGTTCAAATTAAGACTCTTCGGTCTGATCGAGGGGGTGAATACCTATCTGGAGAGTTCAGGTCTTACCTGACCCAAGAGGGGATAGTTTCACAATTATCTTCTCCAGGGACACCCCAGCAGAATGGAGTTGCTGAAAGGAGAAATAGAACCCTTTTAGAAATGACAAGATCTATGCTCAATTATTCATCTCTTTCTGATTCATTCTGGGGATATGCCTTAGAAACTGCTATGTATCTATTGAACTTAGCTCCGTCCAAGTCGGTTTCAAAGACACCAATAGAATTGTGGAAAGGCTGTAAACCCACCTTGAATCACATTCGGATTTGGGGTGCTCCAGCACATGTCTTGCAACAGAAGCCCGATAAGATGGACTCGCGTACAGAAGTATGCATGATTATAGGCTATCCTAAAGGAACCAGAGGTTGGTTGTTTTATAGTCCAAAAGAAAAGAAGGTCATAGTGAGCACTCACACGACTTTCTTAGAAGAGGACTATATAGCAAATTATAAACCAAGAAGTAAGGTTATTCTTGATGATCTAGTCTCAGATCAAGTTTCACCACAACCTCATGCGGTTTCAGCTTTTATTCTTGTGGTTGTTCAAAGAGGGGAAAATATGCATGTAGTTGAACATACGCAGGAACCAGAAGTTCAGCATGATAATCAAAAAGTGGAGTTACCACTTGTAGAAGAACAAAATCATGAAATGGTTTATCCAGAAATAAATGAGGGTCCTCCTCAAATTGTTAACCCACCAGACTTGAATCATCCTGTAGATGCTCAGCAACAAGTGCAGCACAGTCGTAGTGGGAGATTGATTCGTAAACCAGCAAGATATCTCTTGTTGGGTGAATCGAGTCAGGATGTCATCATTGAGAATGATGATGATTCCACTAGTTATGACAAGGCACTAGAAGATGTTGATGCTCAGGAATGGCTTGAGGCTATGAGTCGTGAAATGGATTCTATGTATTCTAACTCAGTTTGGTCTCTTGTAGATGCACCAAAAGGGGTAAGACCCATTGGGTGTAAGTGGATTTACAAGAGAAAGAGAGGATCAGACGGGAAGGTTGAAACCTTCAAAGCTAGATTGGTGGCGAAAGGGTACACCCAAATAGAAGGTGTGGATTATGAAGAAACCTTTTCGCCGATTGCCATGCTCAAGTCTATCCGGATTCTCTTATCTATTGCAGCAAATCTTGATTATGAGATTTGGCAAATGGATGTCAAAACTGCTTTTCTAAAAGGAAATTTAGAAGAGGAAATCTATATGCAGCAACCAAAAGGGTTTATAGCCAAAGGGCAAGAAGAAATGGTATGCAAGTTGCAAAGGTCCATTTATGGACTTAAGCAAGCGTCCAGATCATGGAACATCAGGTTTGATCAAGCCATTAAGTCTTATGGTTTTGAGAAAAGTCCTGATGAACCGTGTGTGTATAAAAGGATTCAAGGTAATGCAGTATCTTTTCTGGTACTTTATGTGGATGATATACTCCTTATCGGAAATGATACAGAGGTATTGTTAGGCATAAAGACCTGGCTGAGCAAGCATTTTGATATGAAAGATCTGGGGGAAGCCAATTATATTCTTGGTATTAAACTCTTGCGAGACCGGAAGAATAGGGTTTTGGCATTATCCCAGGTTAATTACATCGACAAAATACTTGCCAGGTTCATCATGGAGAATTCCAAGAGGGGAATTTTACCTTTCAGGCATGGTATTCATCTCTCTAAGGAGCAATCTCCTAAAACTCCTGAGCAGAGAGAACACATGGGTAGAATACCTTATGCTTCGACAGTAGGTAGTCTCATGTATGCTATGCTTTGCACCAGACCAGATATCTGCTATGCAGTGGGAGTAATAAGCCGGTACCAATCTAATCCTGGAGAGGAACACTGGGTAGCGGTTAAACATATACTCAAGTACCTACGGAGACCGAGAGATTATATGTTGGTCTATTCTAGTGGGAGTCTTGAAACCGTTGGTTATACGGACTCAGATTTCCAAGGAGATATTGACTCAAGAAAGTCCACCTCGAGATATGTGTTCACTCTTAATGGCGGTGCCATTTGTTGGAGGAGTGTCAAACAATCATGTGTGGCTGACTCTACCACAGAGGTTGAGTATGTAGCTGCTTCTGAGGCTGCAAAGGAAGCCACATGGTTAAAGAAGTTCCTAATGGACCTTCAGGTGATACCAGGTGTTAGTCGTCCCATCACACTTTACTGTGACAACAGTGGGGCAGTAGCACAGTGCAAGGAACCAAGGTGTCACAAAAGGAAAAAACACATAGAGAGGAAGTACCACTTGATCCGAGATATCATTGAGAGAGGAGACACAGTGGTTGCCAAGATAGCATCGGATGAAAACCTTGCTGACCCTTTTACTAAGAGTTTGCCTGAACGTGTGTTCGAGAGGCATGTTACATCTATGGGTCTTGGGAGGATTCCAGATTTGCTATAGCTTTAGGAGTTAATTTTTCATTTCGTTATTTTGTGCTTTTTGAGCAAGACATTATGGCTTTGTTATTTTTCTGAATGTTATAAATGGGGTATTTTTCATTTGTATGACACACTATTTACAAACTCTAAGGTCCGGATCAATTGTGGAGTATATGACCATATGGATACGTTCATGGAGGACATGGTCATAAGTTCTCACAATTGATGAATAGGTTCACAGCTATTAAATTAAGTTGGGCACTTTATTTAGGCTGCAATATTTTATGAGATGATTTTGTCCGAATCATTATAAAATATTGGTGTGAGTTAATACTTACATCGAAGGGATCAAGGAGAGATTTGATTAAGGTTGTTCTTTCTGTCATAAGGAATCAAATTTCCAGATAACTGTAGTTATGTAGTTGCCCTTAATCCTGTGTTTATTTTAAATAAATAATTAAATAGTCTTCATTCTTTGATTTACCAACGGGTGAGGTCCGATCTTTTGACGGCCAATAACTCGGTGTTTTGGGAGTGAGATTATTTGATTATCAGTATTTATGAGATAAACAACAAGGAATTTATAGGAAATGTCCCCTTGATATATTTCGGTACTTGGATATTAAAGACACTGGCCAGTGCATGTAATCCATTAGAGAAATTATCAAAGTCAAGGGAATAAATAATTGATTGGGTTACAGAAAACTAATAAATGAATTATAGACATTTTATAAAGGGGCAATGCATATTAATGTTATAAATGTCATTATTCTTGGAGTTCACGTTCGGATTTTTAGTGGAGTAGCACTGAATTAGATAATCTTGTAAAGATTATCAGGAGCCTTGATCAATGACAAATGGTAGGTCCCCAGGCTAGCTCGAGACAAGGGATGGGGTATATTATCAGATGATGATAGCTTATGGGCTACATGGTCTTGGGTTTACGAACTCAAGTTTGTATCTTAAAGAGCAAGTGGGAGATTGTTGGATATATGCTCTTTTGGTCATTAAAGTCCTATTGGGCTTCAGTGACACTTGAGCCCATGAGGCTTAGGGTTGAGTTATGTCTAAGACCTAAGCGTATATATTCATAGTTTTCTCCTCTTGTGCCTCCAAGGTGAACAGATCATCAGAAACAAACCCAAGAGGCAGACGTTCATCATCTGAACTGTTGCCCACACAACCATCTCATCCTCCTCGAGAGATAGTCTGGAAGATCGATCATAGAGGGAACAACTATTGTTCGTGGTCACATAACTACGCCCTTCCAGGTAATCAAAACGATGAAGGTTAATCTTTTCCCTCGTCGTGTCGGTTCGATGCGCTTCCGCATTTCTGGTGAGATTCCTACAATCCCAAGGTGAAGTAGGAGCACCAAAAAGTGGAAGTTAGAGCACAGAACTGCACCAACACTAGCTCATAGTTGCTGCATGTTCTAATTTCTAAAAGTGGCATTTAAGCTCCCTATGGCTAGTCTATTCTGACGTATCACTTTTAAAATAATAAAACACAAATGAAGAACGTGATCAAGAGTGAACGCAAAAGATAAGTTGACTGCGTATAATTAATTTTTGAATGCATATAATATGGCTAATTCGAAAGTATGCTATTTGCACACAATGACACACCTTCTGGCTTCTGCACTTCATTGCTCTTGAAATAGGAATCTTACATCACATATAGGAAACAGCCAACGCAACTGAACTTATATGGTAGGATTTGCGGCTTAGTATTGAACTTAAGATACAAAGGGACTAAGTAGACTATCAGTATTAGTTTTTGATAAGTATTGAATGGGAAACAAAGCAGGGTCTTTATAAGCAATTATCAATTTGTCATAAAATTCAGCCATTGTAGCATCATTTTGGTCTTCTCTGTCCTTCTTTATTAAACTCTGGAAACATAAACACAAGCCAAAATCAGTGAAGAGGGATTGAATACAACATGCCACAACTCTTCTGTTCTTTCAGAGATAATTATTGCCTTATCTTTTAGGTTAAGGAGTGGATATTGGAAAATACATTTGAAGACACGTTATAGTCACTAAAAACTTACCTCTGCAGAATATGCAACAAATATGGGCAAGAATCGTTTTCGGCAGTACTCATTAAAGAGAAGAGTGAGGACTGGTAGAGGAAGCATCAAAGTGGATGCTGGAGAAAGTTTTTTCAATGCAAAAATTCCCACTGCAATAATGTGCATGAGTACTAGAGAAAAAATCATTGTATTGTGCACAATTGGCCAAAATTTCCCTGCAGTTTCATACTTTGGTGCATATACATTTATAAACTGCATAATACAAAGGCAGAGTATCAGTGTAAGCCATGTAATAACCAATTTTCCGGAGTCTCACATTCACAGGGATAAAATGACTTTAACATTGTCAGATTCCATAGTCAACCAAAAGAAAACAATCCTTGTCTAAAAGCACAGATATCGTACTTTGTTAATTGTTAAAAATGGAAACTTCTAATAGGCAATCAAGATTATATTACTACTTACACCAGTCAGTCCCAACTACAGCCACAGGCACTTTCTGAAATAAAAATACATCTATAGGAAGTATAAATTTAAGGGATTTGTGTTTATCATGTTGTAGGAGATAAAATTATCTCCTATACACACATAAAAGTGTGTAGAACCCATATTTTCTTTTTCTTTCTATTCTCTTCACATGGTCTCATAGGGCCCCACGCACTTTTATGTATGTGTAGGAGATAATTTCATCTCCTATAACACGAGAAACATTAATTCTTAAATTTAAACCATCTTAGACATCTTCCATTTATCTTGGATTGAACCTACACCAGTTGCAGAGTCAAATTTATGTCTTTGTATCTCTTATATCACCACACAACCCCCCCACCACACACAAAAGGTGCACCTTCATCAATGATTTTAATGTGTCTACTCTAACACAGTGAACCATAGAGTATGGCAAAGCATGAGAAAGATCATTAATAGTTAGCTTCATTCCTGTGCTGAATTCTCTGATGCTTTTCATTATGTAACATTCAAATTTACTCCTACGAAATTTCTATGAAACCTAATTTTATATAATTATCCTTAACTTCATCAAAACATTATTGAATCACTGACCCAAGATATCAAATTGGAACTTGTTTATACTTTTCCTCTTCAACTATGTGAGATGCATCCTTGACTGGAGGAAAGGAACCCCATAGCAGGAGGCACGTTGTTCAAAAACAACTGAAGAATAAGGTTGGGAAAGACTTAAAACTCTGGTCATAAAGGCTTTGATATTATGTTGAAAACTAACTCAACCCAAATGCTTAAACCGTGGAGGCTTGATAATGTTCTTCTATCTTAACTCTTTCTATTTTGGAATAAAGTTTGTCAGTATTTCCACAAACAAAATTCTTCCTTCTTTTTATTAGTGGGTGCAGGGCATAAATCTTGTTGTAAATATTTGTTATTTTATTATTATTAGTATTTGTTGTATTGGGCCAAGCCCATTAGGTCAAGTATTAGGTCAAGTATTAGGGTTTTCATTCTCTATAAATAGAGACCTCTTTGTACAGATTATACATACAATTCAATAATATTTCAAATACTCTTTTCTTTCAAGTTGGTATCAGAGCTCTTGATCCTGAGGGCTCTGCTTCCGCGTCTACGAATCCTTTTATTCTTTTTCTGTCTCTCGCTGCCATTAGCCGCCACCGAAAAATTTTTCCGGGGACATTTTGGACCGAGATCACTGTTCCTTATTCCTCATCACTTTTCCTATTCCTTTCTTTCTTGTCTCTCGTAAAACAAAGAACACACAGAACCATTCCTACCAAAGGACGTCACGTAAAGAACGCACTGAACCACTGCTCATCGTGTTTTGGGTACTTTTCCGGTGGATTCTTCAACGCGACCAACCACAGGTAGAACCGCCATCGCCGGACGACGTCGCCCCAAAAGTCTCAGCCCGGAAGACCACCGCACGCGCTCACACGCGCCTCCTCTTCATTGGCGAGTGAAGCCCACGCGCATCCAGTCTCACCGGCGCGTGGAGGTGTTTCTTGGCTGCGGACCGGTGCAGTTCTGCTCGACTCTCCAAGCCCGTTCTGGATCTGTGCTCAAATCCTTGATCGGACTTCGTTTGGTATTTTTTCAGTATTTGTTTGGCTTCTTGGTGCTATTGTTTGACAAGTTTTGTGCAGTATGGACTCTTCTCAAAGGAATTCCTTTACAAAGTTTTCTGATGGTACATCTTCTGGATCTAAGAGAGATGATCGATGGTGTTCTTATTGTAAAAGAACAGGTCATATCAAGGATCTATGCTTTCGCCTCCATGGAAAGCAAACTGTCTTAGAAAAAATGGCTAGGATGCGTGGTCAACCGCATTTTACTTCCTCTAAAATAACTTCTGCATTTCGTCCAGATGAGTTGGAACGGCTCCGAACCCTCCTTGATTCTTTGAGTAAGCCATCTGATACTAGTACTTTGACTATGACTGGTATGAGCTCCAAAACTTATTCTTTCATTTCTTCATGTAATGATTTTAAAAATTCTTGGGTTGTTGATTCTGGTGCTACTGATCATATGGCTTGTTGTGCTGACTCCTTTACTTCTTATCATCCTACCATTGGAACTCATACAATAGCCGTAGCTGATGGCTCTCATACATCAGTTGCGGGTTTTGGTGACATAAACTTATAGCAGTCCTTACATCTTAAGGATGTTCTTCATGTTCCTAAACTCTCCACGGATCTTCTTTCTATTCATAAAATTACAAAAGATTTGAATTGTACTGTAACCTTCTATCCTACCCATTGTGTTTTTCAGGATCTCGCCACGGGGAAGACGATTGGTAGTGCTAAAGAGCAAGGTGGGCTGTACTATCTGGTGTCACAATCTCCTGAAAATAAAGTAATAGATCACATCTTGATGTCTCATGGTCAATCAACTGCTGATTCTTTGATTTGGCTTCATCATAAGCGCTTAGGTCATCCTCCATTTAGTTTACTCAAATCTTTATTTCCGTCATTGTTTTTATCTAAGTCTGTTGAGTCTTTTCATTGTGATGTTTGTGAATTTGCTAAGCATCATCGTGTGTCTTTCCCTTCTAGTATTACTAAAAGTGTTGAACCTTTTGATCTTATTCATTCTGATGTTTGGGGTCCTTCTAAGGTCCCTCATTCTTCTGGAAATAAATGGTTTTTTTCTTTTATTGATGATTGCACTCGTGTAACTTGGGTTTACTTAATGCGTGAAAAGTCTGAGGTACCACAACTGTTCTTTCAATTTTATAAAATGATTGAGACTCAATTTTGTAAAAAAATCAAAAGACTAAGGACAGATAATGGTACTGAATATGTCAATCACTCTTTTTCCCAATTTATACAAAATCAAGGTATGATTCATGAACTTACTTGTGTAGACACCCCTCAACAAAATGGGGTTGCTGAAAGGAAAAATCGTGACCTTCTTGAAGTTGCTCGTGCCTTACTGTTTCAAACACATGTACCCAAATGCTGTTGGGGAGATGCCATTCTTACTGCAGCGTTCTTGATCAATCGTCTACCCACTCGGGTTCTCGATCATGTAAGTCCTATTCACTCCATGACTTCTTTTTTTCCTTCTGTTCCAACTTTGCAAAGTCTTCCTCCTCGAGTGTTTGAGTGTGTTGTCTTTGTTCATATTCATAAACAGCATCGCAGTAAGTTGGATCCTAGGGCTCTTAAATGTGTCTTCCTTGGATATGCTCCTGATAAGAAGGGCTACAAGTGCTATCACCCTGGAAGTCGGAAATTTTTTGTTTCTATGGATGTTACATTTCAGGAATCTGAGTCCTTTTTCCAAGGTCCTCATCTTCAGGGGGAGAATAATTCACCAGAAGAATCATCACCTTCCTTCTTTGAATTGGAATCTTCAGTGTCTACTCCTTCACCTGTGTCAGTGTATCCTCCTTTTGGCCCTGTTCCTCCTGTGTCTATTCCTCCTGTGTCAAATCCTCCTGTGAGTAATCCTCCTGTGACTGATTCTCCTGTGATTGATACATCAAGTACACCAGAGATACGGAAGATTATGACACCTGAGTTGGTATATCAAAGAAGGAAACAGCCCACATTGCCTCAGCAGCAACCTCAATCGTCTGAACCACTGGTAAGTCCTGCATCTCATATTTCTGATCATGATGTTAATACTTCTGATGACTTACCCATTACTACTGATTCTGATGATTTATCCATTGCTCTTAGAAAAGGAAAAAGAGCTTGTCCCAAGAAATCTTGTCCCTCCTGTCCCTCTTGTACTCAATACCCTATCTCCCATTTTGTTTCCTCTGCTAATCTTTCTGTGCAGCACAAAAGCTTTGTTTCAGCACTACACTCTATTGCAATTCCAAAATCAGTACATGAAGCCTTGAAAGATGGGAATTGGGCACAAGCCATGCAAGAGGAAATGAATGTGTTGGAGAAAAATAAAACATGGGAGGTTATTGATAGACCTAATGGAAAGAAAGCAGTAGGGTGCAGATGGGTTTATGCCCTGAAATATAATTCCGATGGAACTCTTGAGAGATACAAGGCTCGATTAGTTGCCAAAGGTTACACTCAAACCTATGGCATTGATTATGAAGAAACATTTGCTCCAGTTGCAAAGATGAATACGGTGAGAGTCTTGTTATCCCTTGCTGCCCATTACAATTGGGATATAAATCAATTTGATGTGAAAAATGTTTTCCTCAATGGTGAGTTAGAAGAAGAAGTCTACATGGAAATCCCGCCTGGTTTTGATTCTGTGAAGGGAGAAAATAAAGTTTGTAGATTAAAAAAGGCCTTGTATGGATTGAAGCAGTCACCTCGTGCCTGGTTTGAAAGGTTTACTAAGGTTATGATGACCTTAGGATACAGACAGAGTCAAGGAGATCACACTCTTTTCTTCAAGCACTCCCATAATGGGAAGCTTACTGTGCTCCTTGTATATGTTGATGATATTATTATCACAGGTGATGATTTTGTGGAGAAACAGATTCTGCAAACACGGCTTGCCTCTGAGTTTGAAGTCAAAGACCTTGGAAAACTGAGATATTTCCTAGGGATAGAAGTAGCTCATTCAAGGAAAGGAATTTTTATTAGCCAGAGAAAATATGTTCTTGATCTTCTCAAAGAAGCAGGAAAGCTCGGGTGTAAACCCTCTAATACTCCTATTGAGCAGAATCACAAGATAGGCTATGAAGAAGAGAGTCCTCCAGTTGATAAAGGACAATATCAACGGCTAGTTGGGAAATTGATATATCTGGCTCATACTAGACCAGACCTAGCTTATGCTATTAGTGTTGTCAGTCATTTTATGCACGATCCAAAGGAGAAACACATGCAGGCAGTAGAGAGAATTCTGCAGTATCTTAAAGCTACTCCTGGTAAAGGATTGTTATTCCGACGTGATGGCAATCTCTCTTTAGAAGTTTACACTGATGCTGATTATGCTGGATCCGTGACTGACCGTCGTTCTACCACTGGTTACTGCATGTTTCTTTGCGGTAACTTGGTGACATGATGAAGTAAGAAACAAGATGTGGTCGCCAGATCAAGTGCAGAAGCTGAATTTCGAGCTATGGCTCAAGGCATTTGTGAGTTACTGTGGCTGAAAATTATACTTGATGATCTCAAAATAAAATGTGAGGGACCTATGAAGCTGCTATGTGACAATAAGTCCGCTATTTGTATAGCTCATAATCCGGTTCAACATGATCGGACTAAACATATTGAGGTCGACCGCCATTTCATCAAAGAGAAACTTGATAGCGGGTTGATTACCACTCCATACATTCCCACTGGGCGCCAATTAGCTGATCTATTGACAAAGGGACTTCCTTCAGACAGATTTCAAGAACTTACTAGCAAGCTGAGAATGATAAATATCTATTCCTCAGCTTGAGGGGGAGTGTTGTAAATATTTGTTATTTTATTATTATTAGTATTTGTTGTATTGGGCCAAGCCCATTAGGTCAAGTATTAGGTTAAGTATTAGGATTTTCATTCTCTATAAATAGAGACCTCTTTGTACAGATTATACATACAATTCAATAATATTTCAAATATCCTTTTCTTTCAAGTAATCTCATGTATGAAAAAATCAAAGACTCTTCTTTTCCAGAAATAGATACCAAAATAAGCATTGGAATAAGTGCTGACCTGGTTTCGAAATATGATGTATGCAAGACAGAGATAGACCAGGAGGAATGGTAAAATTAGCGGAGCTAGGAAGAAATATGTAATACCAAGAAGTCCAACGAAAAGGACCCTTGGAAGATCCCTATGGTAAGGAATAGATGGAACTTCAAATTCATCGTCTGGTCTTGTGAAGGGCCTTGTCATCAAGCTGCAAAATAGAGGAATTATCCGAAAGAGTTCTGATGACACACTTGTCCATCCTGATGTGACAATATATGTAATGAAAAATGATGCCTACAGGAAAATCAAAATTAATTGGATTAAAAACATAAAAATAGCAGATTTAATATCGGTTATAAATTGGTAATTTCCTACGTATTTTTAGACTTGAATATCATGTCATGCCTAAAATGATAGATAGTACGGATAATGTTAGAAGTAACGAGAATACTGTTGATATTGTTTTTCAATTATAGCAGGAACAAACATTAGTGACTAATTAAACTATGGCGAATTATCAGTTAGAGAGTTACTATACCCAGATCAACTAATGATTTGAATATTTAGGGTGTTGAATCAACAAGATTACTTGGGACTCAGGTTTAGGCATCTTACCCTGGTAGAATCAGGAATTCCAAGGATTTGCCCCTATTCAATTTATATTTAGGGTATCCCCTCACACTTCAGGTGAGACTAATAATCTCTTTGGACAATCTGTGATACAATCAGGCCCTTCCCACAAGTGATGTCTCTAAAGCTCAAACCCTTTCCTTCCTAGAGAGCTTACCACTGTATTCGATTCCTTGTGGGTAAAATTTATATTTTCTACTTCATTTTCTTTCCTCTTTAAATTTCTCATTCTCACTCAAGACCAGGAAAGAAGCATAATGTTTGAGACACCACTGAGCTGTAACCATATAATGCAGAAACTGTAATAATGTCATTTATCATCCTTATATGTCTATGAATTTCATTGATGATTCAACTTATGCTATAAAATATAGGCAGGCTAGTTGGGACTTAGTTGCTCAAAACATTTCGACGTGAAAGATTGCTTTTCCTTTTGTGTAATTAAAATAACATGAAAGAAATGTACCCAAAAAAATAAAAAAATGAAAGAATTCTTTGTCAATTCATCATGGAAGATTTTTAAAAACAGTTTATCAGAAGTGTGGTAGCCACTTAAGCAAAAGTAAAGGGAAACAGCATGATTAATGATGTTAATATTTCTATGCATAATGGCCAGACACTAGAAGATATGCTGAAATCAGATTGATTTACGGAACAAAAACGTGTTTCAGTTCCACCTGCATGGCTCTAGGTGGAAAGATAATCTTTTGTAGTTCAAAATTAGAGAAGTTTCAGGGAAGTTTGCAATGGGAAAAAACATTGTCTAACCTGCGCTGGAACTGCAACTGCCAGTCTCCCAGGAATGTCCTTCAGATCAAGGATGACAGACAGCTGGTATAGAACTGACCCAGAAAATAAAGTTGCAAGAAAAACATTCCATATTGTGAACCACAGTACTTTGTTAGATGCACTCAATTCTATATCACTTTGTGAGATGTAACCTTGAATGGAGGTAAGGAGCCCCATGATAGGGGGCACCACTTTCAGAGACATCTGAAGAATAAGGTTCGGAAGGTATCCCGTAATTACTTGAGAAACAAATTTTCTGTAAGCAGATTTAGAAAGGCTTCAGAGATTTTCCATTAACAGATTGAAAGACAAAACATAAGGGTAAAGCTTGCATGCCGTCCTACTTAAGAAGACATAGCATCAGAAATCACAAAAAGGATAGATAGAATGAATTGGACTATACCAGAAAATTACACAAGCAGATTATTTGACTTCACATAAAATGTTGTGATTGAACTATCCTAGTGTTATGAAATTACAACATTGAATAAACCTGAAAATTTTCTCCAGCATGTTGGGCTTCCTCCTTCAATGCTAAGCCCAAGCCCATTTGAGGGGTTTCCTACTAAAAACCCTAACCCTAATTTCCACCTCCTCTATATATACTCATTAGTTGTGGGTGGAGGCTAGGTCAGATTTGAGAGAACAAATTTGAGAGAATTATTTGATTGTTTAAGCAAGGCTTTATGCTTTGCATTTGAGAGATCTCTAGAGAGAGTTTGAGTGAAACATCTCTAGGGTAGTTTGATTATCATCATTGTTGGAGATGTTGAGTTAACCACCACATTGGTGTATTTGATTCGTTGTAACCATTATTTTCATAGTGGATTTCTGATCTGGACTAGGTCCCGTGGGTTTTTACTTCTTAATTCAAGAAGGTTTTCCCACGTTAAATCTGATGTGTTCTTCTTCTCTCTCTCTCTCCTGTTTTCGTTTTGATTTTTCCGCTGCGCTGCCTGACCTGGTGAAGTTCAGGCCGAGGTATTGCCGAGATCCGAGATCAGGATCTTGTTGATTGACTTCCGCACAAAGGCCCCTGAGCCGATCTGAGGGAACCGAGTTTTCCCAACAGTGGTATCAGAGCCCGAGTTCGACGGGTTCTGAGGGAGACGAGATGGAGACCAGTGGCATAACTCATGATGAAGATATGTTCAAGTTGACCGCAGATAATTTCACATATTGGAGACCGATGATGGAAGATCATCTCTACTGCAAAGATTTGCATGAGCCCATTATCCTTGATGAGAGACCGGCAGGCAAGACCGATAAGGAGTGGGAGATCCTGAGTCGGAAGGCGGTAGCCACGATCAGGAAATATATTGATAAAAGTCTCTTTGAGCACGTGTCAGAATTCACGAACGCGTATGAGTTGTGGACGAAATTAGAGTCCATGATTCAGAAGAAGACTCCCAGGAATAAAGCACACCTGTTTCGCCGACTTGTTAAGCATGAATACAAGGACGATATGAGCATGATTGAACACCTTCAAAGGTATTGTGAATCAGCTGTCAAAGGTTGATATGAAAATTGATGAAGAACTGCAGGCATTGCTGCTGTTGAGCTCGCTGCCAGAAAGCTGGGATACTCTGGTGGTGACCCTGAATAACTCGACTCCAGATGGAAAATTGAAGATGGATGTCGTGACAGACAGCCTCCTGGGCGAAGAATCCAGGAGAAGAGAACGAGGTACTTCGAGTACGTCTGAGGCCAACGTTGCTGAGAACAAAGGGAAATCCGACTCCCGCGGTAGAAGCAAAAGCCGAGGTAGAGGTCGTGACAGACGAGACAAGTCCAGAGGTCGGTCAAAGCCGAAATATGAGTTGAAGTGCTTTTACTGTGGAAAGACAGGCCATAAGAAGCCAGACTGCTGGACCCTACAAAATGATGAGAAGAACGGCTCTGTGAAGCCGGATCAGATTATTCCCAAGAAGAGGGAAGACAAGAGCACCACTGCGGTGGCTGCAAACCCTAATGCTGAGATATTCCTCCTTGGTGAGAATAATTATTTGAATGTTGCTTATGATGACTGCACCTGGATTGTTGACTCCGGTGCCTCCTTCCACGTTACTCCACACAAAGGTTTTTTCTCCTCTTATCGAGGTGGTGATTTTGGAGTCGTGAAGATGGAAAATCAAGTGACCAGCAAGATTGTTGGTGTCGGTGATGTAACTCTGACCATAGATGTCGGATGCCAACTTGTGTTGAAAGACGTAAGGCTTGTTCCTGACATGCGTTCGAACCTAATCTCGGTAGGCAAACTTGATGATGTCGGGTTAGTGAACTACTTCGGTAGTGTGAGATGGAAGCTGGCCAAGGGAAACTTGGTCGTGGCCCGAGGTAAGAAAGAAGGCTCCTTGTACGTGATGCAAGGAAAGACCAATGGCGGAGAAGCCAATTCTGTTTGAGATGAACCTAACTTGGAGCTATGGCACAAGCGCCTCGGCCACATGAGCGAGAAAGGGCTACAGATCCTGAACAAGAAAGGATTATTGACCGGGTTGAAAGGCCAAGCGTTGGAGAGTTGCACGCACTGCCTAGCTGGAAAACAGCACCGGGTTTCCTTTGCGAGACCGGATCAACCTAGACGACGCAGGCATATTCTTGACCTCGTCCATACTGATGTTTGCTCCATGTCAGAGAAATCTCTTGGAGGAGCTCAGTACTTTGTTTCGTTTATTGATGACCATTCCCGCAAAGTGTGGGTATATTTGTTGAAGTCTAAAGACCAGGTACTCCAATCCTTTAAAGAATTCCATGCTATGGTTGAAAGGGAGACTGGCAAGAAATTGAAGGTGGTCCGATCTGATAATGGTGGTGAGTATTGCGGCCCATTTGATGCATACTGCAGAGCGGCCGGGATTCGACTTGAGAAGACGCCCCCCAAGACTCCACAGTTGAATGGACTTGCTGAGAGGATGAACAGAACAATTGAAGAGAAGGTACGAAGCATGATATCCAATGCCGGATTACCAAAATCATTCTGGGGAGAAGCCGTCAAAACTGCTGTTGACTTGATCAACCTCTCACCACTTGAAGGAGAAATTCCAGAAGAAGTCTGGACAGGTCGGAAAGCGGCCTATAATCAATTGAAAGTGTTTGGATGCCGAGCTTTCGTGCATATCCCTAAAGATGAAAGGGCCAAACTTGATGCAAAGACAAAAGAATGCATCTATCTCAGTTCACCAAAATCCGAGTTCGGGTTCCGACTTTGGGATCCAATCAATAAGAAGATCGTGAGAAGCCGAGATGTGATCTTTCATGAGCATGAGAACATTTATGACATCTCGAAGCCCAAAGTCCGGGTTACTGTCAGACGTGAAGAACCCATCCCTCCTGTCCGAGCTGAAGCAGGGGGAGAAAATCAAGAAAATGAAGAAAATGATGATCAGCAACAAGCTGAAGATGACCAAGACATTGAGGTTCGAGTTGATGATGAGATCCGGGATGAGAATGATGAACCGGGCCCTCAAGCTGAAGAACAGCCGAGATATCCAACTCGAGAAAGAAGACCCTCTACGAGATACTCATCTGATGAATACACCGTTGTTGCTGAAGACGGTGAGCCTCAGAGTTATGATGAGGCTGTGACAAGCTCAGAGAAAGAAGAATGGGAAAAGGCAATGCAAGACGAGATGAAGTCTCTGCACGAGAATCAGACTTATGAGCTGACCGAGTTGCCTAAAGGAAGACGTGCTTTGAAAATCAAATGGGTCTACAAGATTAAGAATGAAGAGAACGGGCAAAAGCCGAGATACAAAGCCCGGATTGTGGTGAAAGGCTGCAATCAGAAGAAAGGAGTAGATTTTGAGGAGATTTTTTCTCCTGTGGTGAAAATGACCTCAGTCCGAACCGTGTTAGCCATGGCGGCTTCAATGGACCTCGAGGTAGAACAAATGGACGTGAAGACGGCATTTCTTCACGGTGATTTAGAAGAAGAAATATATATGGAGCAACCTGAAGGATTCCAAGCTCCAGACCAAGAAGACTTGGTATGTCGATTGAAGAAGAGCCTCTATGGCTTGAAGCAAGCACCTCGGCAGTGGTACAAGAAGTTTGAATTATTCATGACTGATCATAAGTTTGAGAAGACTGAAGCTGACCACTGCGTATTTGTGAAGAGGTATGAGGCCGGAAACTTTCTGATCTTGTTGTTATATGTTGACGACATGCTTATTGTAGGGAAAGACAAATCGAGGATAGTCGCCCTGAAAAAGGCGTTGAGCTCGTCCTTCGCAATGAAGGACCTCGGCCCTGCAAAGCAGATTCTCGGAATCAAGATCATCCGAGATAGACAGAAGAAGCTACTGTGGCTGAGTCAAGAGAAATATATTGAGAAGATTCTGAAGAGATTCAGCATGGACAAAGCCAAAACAGTGAGCACCCCCCTTGCCGGACACATAAAGCTGAACCAAAAGCAATGTCCGAGATCTGATGAAGACAAAGATAAGATGATGAAGGTCCCTTACCAATCCGCCGTCGGAAGCTTGATGTATGCAATGGTTTGCACTAGATCCGACTTGGCGTATTCTGTTGGAATGGTAAGCCGGTATTTGTCAAACCCCGGCAAAGAGCACTGGGAAGCAGTGAAGTGGATCTTCAAGTACCTCCGAGGTACAACCGACTTATGTCTCCGTTTTGGAGAAGGCAAAGCCGAGTTGCAAGGCTACTCGGATTCTGATTTAGGGGGAGATTTCGACTCGAGGAAGTCGACTACAGGATATTTGATGAGATTTGTCGGAGGAGCTGTCTCTTGGCAATCAAGACTTCAGAAATGTGTTGCACTATCGACAACTGAGGCTGAGTACATTGCCGTTACTGAGGCAAGCAAAGAGATACTGTGGATGAAGAAGTTCCTCATGGAACTCGGCCATGATCAAGACAAGTACGAGCTGGGTTGTGACAATCAAAGCGCAATCCATCTTGCGAAGAATTCAACCTATCACTCCCGCACTAAGCATATTTATGTGAGGTATCACTGGATCCGGGATGTGGTGGAAGGTGGAGAGCTCGAACTCGTCAAGGTGCACACTGACCAAAATTGGTCCGACATGATGACGAAGCCGGTTCCAGCAAGAAAATTTGAAGACTGCTGTGAAGGAGCCGGATTGATGCTGAAGCCGACGCATTGAAGTCGGAGGGGGAGATTTGTTGGGCTTCCTCCTTCAATGCTAAGCCCAAGCCCATTTGAGGGGTTTCCTACTAAAAACCCTAACCCTAATTTCCACCTCCTCTATATATACTCATTAGTTGTGGGTGGAGGCTAGGTCAGATTTGAGAGAACAAATTTGAGAGAATTATTTGATTGTTTGAGCAAGGCTTTATGCTTTGCATTTGAGAGATCTCTAGAGAGAGTTTGAGTGAAACATCTCTAGGGTAGTTTGATTATCACCATTGTTGGAGATGTTGAGTTAACCACCACATTGGTGTATTTGATTCGTTGTAACCATTATTTTCATAGTGGATTTCTGATCTGGACTAGGTCCCGTGGGTTTTTACTTCTTAATTCAAGAAGGTTTTCCCACGTTAAATCTGGTTGTGTTCTTCTTCTTCTCTCTCTCTCTCCTGTTTTCGTTTTGATTTTTCCGCTGCGCTGCCTGACCTGGTGAAGTTCAAGCCGAGGTATTGCCGAGATCCGAGATCCGAGATCAGGATCTTGTTGATTGACTTCCGCACAAAGGCCCCTGAGCCGATCTGAGGGAACCGAGTTTTCCCAACACAGCAATCGATTGCAAAACCCATAATTTACATTTACAATCAAAATGTACAGCAAACCATGGTTTGTCAGTGACTATGTGTAAGAGGCAATTTGCAAGCAATCTGATTGTAATACTCCCAAGCACATGTTCATGAAAAATTTATTTTTCAACCAAGAAATGGCACCGTAGTTTGGACCACCTAAACTTACACTAATTTTCTTTATGCTTTAAATGCCATTTACAGCTTCCTGGCTTTATCCTTGTAAGACCTAACTGATATATACTCTCCGTAATGAACTATGCATGCCATCAAGGCAACATAAAATCCATTATCACCAAGTTATGGTCAAGTTAATGCTTGAAAGTGTATACTTAAGTAACAATCAACTATCCCTTTTGACCTAGTTATCATTGAACACTGAGAATTTTTCTTTTGAGTAAAAACTCTATAGTGAGATCACGAGGGAAGGGGACACAAGAAAAGCAAGATAGTATTATCAACATATAGGGGTGTAAATGAGCCGAGCAGCTTGTCAATGGCCCAAGGCAAGGCTTGGCCTGACTTGTTTAACAAATAGAATGGGCTCAAACTTTAAAAAAAACTTGTTTAGCAAACAAGCTCAAGCTTAATTTAATGAGGTTTGGCTTGAAAAACCCGTGAGCTGACCCGATATATGATTATAATAAATAATATATTTTTATGTCACTAAGTCATTAATCCTATTTTTGTAACCCTACTTTTTTACTATTGTCTTTAACTCCACAAGCAACTAACCAAACTCAGGTACTCTTTCTCTATTCTTCTTTGAAGATTATAATATAATAAGCCTTGGAGTTTGGACGGCTTATTCTATTAGTCTGTAAAGTACCAATTCAACCCAAAAGCTTAAGCTGTTAGGTGAGGGCCTCTTTAATGGTTGATATTATACTCTGGCACGCCCCCTCACAAGAGCACCCATTGGGCTTGAAAGGTGGATGATGCATCAGGCCTAGCCTACTTGCGCTAAGAAATTCCACAAACAAAATGGGGGGCGGCAAAGATCGAACTCGGGACACCCAGGCTCTGATACCATTTAAAGAATCAATTCAACCAACAAGTTTAAGAAGAAATTTTAAAGGTTAGTCTATATTACATACTTTTCTTAAAATATTCTTCCCCCACATTCTCTATTTCATGAGCTGGATCAATGTTTAAGAAGAAATTGCAGAACTCATTATTCGATCTTAAAATATATGTGGACTGAGTGGGTTCTATGATTGTTTTTTCTCTGACGAAGGAATACAGAATTTGATGCATTTATAATCTCAACATTTGGACGTATGTGAGTTTGGAAAAAATACATTTTATAATTATAAATGAGTCAAGCCTTTAATTTTTTATAAACAAGCCAAGCCTAGAATTTAGCTCGTACCAAGCTAATGAGCCAAGCCAAACTCAAAATATTTTTCATTCATAAGCTTGGCTCGTTTAAGCTAAAGTTTGGCTCGGCTCAGCTCATTTACACCCCTCATAGATAGATAGATAGATAGATAGAGAGAGAGAGAGAATAAACAAACTTTTACTTACATGGTTAGAATACTTGTCAAGAAGGGAAACAAAATTTCCAATTGGCTGAGGTTGGTAAGACCCTGTACGATTACAACTGGTATAAGGAACAAAATTGTGAAAAGTGTAGTCAGAAATATAACCACCAACTTAGATATCCATCTTCGCATGAATGATTCAGAAAAGAAAGGCCAATAAACATCACGAGGTTCTGGAGCTAGCTCAGTAATCCACTGGGTGGGATTGACTGATTGCTGCATATGGAAAGCAGTTGCAGCACCATAACGAGACTTGAAGAATACAAAGGCAGCTCGAGCCTCCTTGAAAATTGAACAAGAATGTAGATTACGAGGATGCACTTTACATCAACAGATATATGAAAAGTGTAAATAGTTAAATAAGGACTGAAATACTTTTAAAAACTTTTCCGTTTTGGAAAAAAAAAAAAAAAAACAGAAAGAATGCCACATACTTCTCCTGCCAAAGAAGCCTCTGATTGCTGCAATCTTACATTCTCCTGAATGTCCTCCAACTGCTTTCCATAATGATCTATAAGATTATCTTTTCGTCCAAAAAGTCCAAAACAACCACCATGTTTATACTTTTGCTCAGTAGGGTCTGAACGTAATTGAGTAATCCTTTTATACAAATTCTTTGCTTCAATCTAGATTTAAGGGAAAGACAGAGAAATGAGTTGAGTAGTTATTAAAATAAAATAGAAATACACTATACTGAAGTACTTAATTTGACAAACAACATAGCATCCTTCTTCTATGTATAATGACAAAAATAATTGGGTTACCACTTACCAGCAAAGCTGTTGAAACTTGAAATTAATAAATGAAAACTCAATCAATGAATAGAATAACACTATATTACTAAAGATTTAGGTCAATATAACTGTCTCAGGGAATCTCCCTGTAAGAATATTTTTCCATGGAATATGTCATTCCTTTTTTATACTATCTGCAAAAGTGAACCTCCAATCACAAAAGTTTGATGCTTAAATATTAAAAATTGTTAGAGAAATATAATATAAAAACCATTAATACGACCTTCACCTAAAAATTTAACTTAAGTTGTTAGTTCTTTACATGGTATCAGAGCATCTATGATCATGTCGTCACGAGTTCGATCCTCACAGCCCCTTCTATTAATAAATAATTATATATCATGGAGTTTTTTAGCACAGGTAGGTAGGCCTGAGCATTGTCCATTCTTCAAGTCCAATGAACTCTTGAGTAAGATGGTGTGTTAGAGAAATATAATATAAAACTATTAATATGGCCTTCACCTAACAACTTAAGCTTAAGTTGTTGGATTGAATTGATTCTTGTAAAGAACCAATTCAACTCAAAAGCTTAAGTTGTTTGGTGAGATTACATTAATGGTTTTATACTTCTCTAACATGCCTCCCTCACACGAGAGCCCACTGAGCTTGAAAGGTGAATAATGCACAGGTCCACGTATCTATGCTAAGAAACTCCACAAGACTTAATTAATTATTAAATAAATAGGGGGCGGTGAAAATTGAACTCGTGACACCGAGACTCTGATACCAAGTAAAGAACCAATTCAACCCAAAAGCTTAAGTTCTACGCACCGAGGACACTTCAGATCAATTAAATCCTGCTTATTAGCCAGTCTCAATATTGTACAGTCACAAGAAAAAATTTGGAGAGAAAATAATTTAGGCAATAAAATCTGTGAAGATAGGAGGTGGGGCATGAAGAGATCAAGATAAAAGTCCTTTGTTTGAATTTACGTAAGTGAACTGGCCTCATGTATGCCTTATTTATAAGCAGAGTATAGGTAAATAAAACCCATAGGCACTGCGCAGTACAACTATTATATATTTTTTAATAGTACATCCAATACTTACAATATTCCAACATTTGTAAATTAAACCCATTGTGCTTGATGTGGAGTCTTCAAAAGAATCAAACCGTTTCCAGGGGCTGAAAATTCCATGGTTGAGATGAAAAGGAGATTTCTAGCACGTTATGTTATTCACTTAAAGTTTCAATTTGATTTATTTTTCAACTACAAATGATATATGATAAATGCTTTACATATTGCAATTACAAGCACAAACTGCTAAAAATGGTGCTAAAAATTCTGCAAGCTTTTAGAAGACTAAAATAAAAGTTTCTAAGCAAAGTTAAATATACAGGAAAGAATTTAATGAACAAGAAAGGAAATAAAAATTGGACAGAATGCTTACTAGGAGACTTCGGATTTTGTTTGTACGACGAATAATCACATGCGACAGATATGTAGCTGGGTAAAGCTCTTGAAAGAAGCTCTCAACACTGTCACTGATACTGCAACTCGAGGAAGTAGGAATACTGTGAACTAAAATGGTGAACTGATGCGGCTGAGGTTTGGATGAATCAAAATACGAAATTCTTTTGGAAGCTATGTATTTATATTCCTGAAGATTGAAATAATTTTGAGCAATGAGTGTATGTAGTTCAATGGTTGTCTCTTGGAGTTGGTGAGTCAATAAAGCAACTTAAGAAAAACAAAAATGGAAATCCCTTATAAAGCTCTGTAGAATTCAGAGGTAACTTACATAATAAAGTAGTAGGCATATAAATCCAGTGACAATATATACAGAAATGAAGTGGACCCACAACCTGAAATAAAAGTAAAAAAAGTAAAAAAAAGGATAACAATCTCATTCTAAGCACAATTGAATTAAAAGATAAATGCTGAAATGATAAGCTATCTAAGCATAGCTGAATGAAAACTAAAATATTGAGGCAGTATTCACCAGTTAGAGCCACTGTTTACATTTGATATGGTGAACAGATCCAAGGAGTTATTGGTAAAGTCAACAACGTCAAAATCTTGTAGATGATTTCCCCAGCAATTCACGGGAAGAAGCACAAGGATCCCAATAATCCCAGCAAAAGTAAATATTTTCAAACTGCAAACATTCAAGAAATGACAGAACTCAAATCTAAATAAGAGTTGTTTATTTTAATTTTATTTTATTTGTTGTAACCCTTTTGTTTTTGTTGTTTTGGGAAGGGGATTAGAAAATACCTGAAGGTTATGGTGCGCATAAATACTACACCATCTAATCCTGATAATGAAAATAGCTCCTCTTCGGAAAGCCTCCATGCTTTTGCAACCCAATCAGGGGAAGGTATTAATCTTTCTAAATTGAAACGACTTCTCCGCTTAGAAGTTCCTTCAGCCAACAAGCGTGGTACATAAACTTCATAGTTACTAGGTTGTTTCCTCAATATAGAGTACAAGGTAAAGAACAAGACACACAGAGCAGTGTTTATCCCAACAGATGTGAGAAGAGCAGAGACAATCATGTCTTCAAGTAAATAAATCCAAGCAAATACAAAAAAAAAATTATGACTTATAAGGGAGGGGAAACTACTAAATTGTAAAGTGAGTATTTTATGAATTATGAGACATGTCCTAGGTTCACTTTAATGCATTAAATCACTAGGAAACTAATTGAAGACACAAAATTGAAAAATTCTCCATTTTGCCTGTTTGACAGGTTGTGAATAGTTCCAATTTAAGAGATCTCGATCGTTCAATAAATGACTTGCAAGTTTCATCCTTTCGTTGCAGACACCCCTTAACACGCAAGTGACGAATCTTAACGTGCGGAATCACCGTGTACTTGTGTCAATCACGGATTGGTGCCCTTTTTAATAAAGCTTTAAGTAGAATTGACCGGGACCACTATTATTGTTAATTCTATTTGAATCTAACTATTTTAAATGCTTGAATTGAAGATATAAATTCATGTGAAGCAGCAGAATCAACAATTAATAATAAATATAATAATTTTTATTTTTATCTTTAGGGATATGATCAACTTATATTAAAAATATTAAGTTGCTTTCCGAAAAACAAAAAAATATTAAGTCTCATGCTAAATTTTAGTGATTGATCGATCCCACCTACATTTAATATGCCACACAATTAATAAGTTAGAATTATTATTAAATATAAACACTTAGATCGACATAAATTGATATTATCATATAAGAATGAGAAGTCTACTCAACTAATGAAATAGGATTATTAAATATAAATAAAATCAGCTTAAGATTGGGTGTAAAAGTTACACCCATATTAATGAAGGGTTTTGTTTTTCTCCTTTCATACGAGGAAAAGAATTCTCCACACACATGTTTAAGGTAGATCCCACCATTAAGAAATTAAAATAAAAATAAAAAACCAATGCACACATATCGATGTATGAGTGACATAAGAAATATTTTCTCCATCTACATAAGAAAGTATTTTTCCATTAATGAAGTCTTAAAACTCGTCTCAATAATCAAGAGCACTCCCTTGAGCACTTCAACTGCATCCTCTCAAGCCTGTTTACTGGTACATGGTACTTCCTTTTTCTCCTTCACCTGAACCATAATAAACCACTTGAAATTTGAAATTTCTTTGCTATATAAAAGGGGAAATTCGAATTTTCGATCAAATTATTCCAATAGAAAATCTCAGACTAAATCAAGGCAGAGATTAGGACACTATTATGTCAATGGCCGTTTGGACTAATTGGAGGATACTTTCAGATAAATGTGATAAAGCCTGGCCCACCATATCCTCTAAATATAAGGTAGCAATTTATCATAGACCATTCTTACTTAAGTTCAAACCATCCTAAGAGAAAAAATAAAAATAAAAAAACCCATTGAAATTGAACCCAAGATATTTTTCCGTATACTATATAGATATTTAGCGCTTAAGATTGAGACTTGAGAGATGCAGAAGAAGCTTAGTGTTGTAGGAACTCGAAGCATGGAATACACAGAGGACATTAACGAGTGGCAACAAATCGAACAACACTCGTTACAAACCGTTCCAACAACAATAGACCCCGAAGATGGAACGACTTCCTCACCCTCGGTGACGTCGAGTTCTGTGACTGACGAGGAGGTTGCGACCCCAATGCCGGCGCCGCCTCCGTCACCGTCAGACTGGCGGCTTCGGGTGGCCAATGAAGGCAAGAAGCTATTGAAGCTGCGGTTCGAGGCTATGAAAACCGGGGTCGTTAGGGTGGCTTCCAAGGTTCGTAATTGTGCGATATGTACGGGGGTGTTTTGGTCAATTACGTGCGTGACCGGAGCTGCGGCGGCAGTGGCGGTGTTGATTTTGTTTTACGTGGGGATTCGAAGTCGTGGTCGGAGGAGCGTGGATCATTCGGTTAATCTTGTTAGAGAGAAAGATGAGGTGAGTATAAAGATCTTTCTATTAGTTGACTTTAAAATAACATTATTGAAAAGGGACATATTCCTCTCCTTATTGATAAGATATATTTTCTCATATTCTCTCACTTCGATTTTTGTACACTACTTTTTTTTTTTTTCTTATAATGATGGAATCCACTTATTTTTTTTCTACAACATAAGATAATTATCTTATGTTAAATAAGATTAATAAAACCTTATAGAAAATGCATCACTATCTCCGTTCTCCACAATTTCTACTTCACTACCACTTCACAGAAGAAGAAGAAAAAGGTGTGATTTTAGATGAATCGAAGTGGTTTTGATATATAATTGATTATTTTTATATTCTTCTTATTTTATTTTCTCTTTTTTTCTAATTTTATGGAAGAAAAAAATATAAAAAATTATCAAATATATACTAAAATGACACTAATTCATTTAAAATGACATAAATTTACTTTTCCGCACAAAGTTTTTGATTAATTTAAGTTTTGCACTTTAGAGAATTTGTTTTATAAAATTAACAACTACATTTTAACAATTTTATAGTTTAATTATAAATAAATATTTATAAGTTCTTTATAATTTCGTTTTTTTTCTCTCTATGGTTTATTTTAGAAGAGTTAAATTACTCGTCTAAATAACCTAACAAAAAATATGAATTGAGATAACAAGATTACAAAATTAAAATCTATTTGTATTTTTTGATCCAATTTGGCCTAACTTAATATAGGTTGGTTTGCGGCGAGTTAGGCTATTCTGCAAGATCAAATAATGTGAAAATCAATTACTAGATATTTTAAATAACGATTTACTTGAAATCTTTAATAGAGTTAATCTACGTATTTCAATACAAGCTAATTAGTAAAATAAATTATTTAAAATGTTGTTACTCTGACTTTTTGACCCTTATGACCCTTAATTAATAATTAATTACCAAATTGCCCTTCATTCAAAACTATTTCGAAAATTTACCCTTCCCAACAAACATAACACCAATCTGCCCATGTTTGACCGTTGACCACGAAGCCTACTCGGGTACACCATTACCTACCCGGGTAAATTTTGAAACTTTTTATCTACCCGAGTATGTAGGAGTGTACCCGGGTAGAGTTCTTGAATCTGGGAAAATAGTTGAATTATTTACCCGGGTATGGATCAGTGTACCCGGGTAAATCGCGTCCAGAAACCTCAATATGTATGGGTTTCGGCCATTGTTGCGAGGTATAGGGTTTTTGAAACCCCAAATCTCTCTCTCTTACCCTCTCTAATCCGAAACATCACACATATTTCATCTCATCATTTCAGAAAGCTGAATCTTGGTGGGACATTGAGATTACATCTCCACACTCCCATTTTGTGCTAAAAAATCCGAACCAACCTCCAAACCCAAAACCTAGATCTAATTTTTGTGTGAAAGATGAGTTCAAGTCCAAACATGGTTCCTATAGTTATTTACTACAATGGGAGGCATTTTGAAGGTCCGAACGGTGTCCGATTTGAAGGAAAAACAAAAACGATGAAAATCAAAGTGGGCATTACATGCAATGAACTGAAGGAGAGAATTCTTCAAAAAATGGGGTCAGAAGGCATACATTCCATCCACCGCATGATAGCCAGGTTAGAGACTGTAGTGGATATGGATACAATATACTACATTGGAAACGATATAAATGATGATGAAGATGTGGAGTTCGTAACAGATGCGTTTGTTGAATGGAAAGTATTAAAATATATTGAGATATATGTTGAAGTTGATGTTGGACAATCTTCATCTTTACCGGTGCATACAACCACTACTGCACACTGTACCGGTCAAGAAGATACAGTTGTACGATCTTCTGCACCTCCTCAGGTAGCATTGGATGAGGATGAAGAGGATGAAGACGAGGACTATGTGGACAGCGAAGATGAGGGAGAACCTGAAAGTGCTATTCCAGAAGGTGATTCGTCAGACACTGACGTGGACGGTAATTTTGAGGCTGACATGAGCGCCGTAAGTCTCGGTACCCCAGCCTTGTCACCACTTCATGTCGACCCAGTCAGTAGTGGTAAGTTATTAAATTTGAACATTTGCTTTAGACAATTTATTATTTGTGGTGGTATTCATTCAGACAAATGAGAGTTGATCTTTAGATGCAGGGTCTGAGGAGCCATTCTGGAATGAAAGCCAACATTATTCATTCATTAACTGGGCGCACCCTAATGACGAGTTGGAGATCCTATATGGCGATGATGACTTGCACGGAGGTTGGAAGTTAGGAGATCCGTTATTTGTGCAACAAGAATTTGGGTCCAAACCAGAATTGCAACATGTTGTGAAGATACATTGTATGAAGGGGCGCAGGACAGCCATAGTTGAAAAAAGCGACGAGTCAAGATTTGTTATGAAGTGTAAAAACCATGCTGACGGTTGTCCCTGGTATATGAGGGCAATTAAGCCGAAGAAGGGAGCTAATTGGGTGGTCCGTAAATGGGGTCAAGGTCACACATGCCTAAATCAAGGCCTAGCACAGGATCATAGACAGTTGGATTCAAATGTTATTTGTGCGGCTATAATGAGTATGTATTCTACTATGTATTTAATGATTCAGATTAATTGAGAATATGGTAAAGTTATTTTTTTTTCCAGATATGTTAAAGGAAGATCCATCCATAAGACCAGCTCTGATACAGGAGAGGATACAGGGAACATATGGATACAACATAACGTACATGAAGGCCTGGAAGGCAAAAATGAAGGCCATCGTTAAGTTGTTTGGTGACTGGGAGAAATCGTACGCATTCTTGCCAAATTGGCTGAAGTATATGACGGAGGTGAATGTGGGTTCTGTGTTCAAACTTGATACAAATCAATGTTTTGATGAACGTCGGGTTTATACAGATAGGGCCGTATTTCAAAGGGTTTTTTGGACATTTCACCAATGCATTGAAGCATTCAAACACTGCAAGCCTATAATTCAAATTGACGGCACTCATCTGTATGGGAAGTACAGAGGTACTCTATTGATTGCAACATCTCAGGATGGAGATGGATTTCTGCTCCCTATTGCCTTTGCTGTTGTTCCTCCAGGTGAGTAAATAATTTTGCTTTGGGGTATGTGAAAGCATGTGA